AAGAGCTCTGTAAGCTCTGGGAGGACTGGCTACATGAGGGGTGTGTTGCCTAATATGCAAAGGAGTTCCTGCTACAAAAAGAGCCCTGCTTCTGGGGTTTTGTTTTCTTTCTGAGGGGCAGAGACTAGTGCAAATGCAAATCTTTTTTATTTTAAATCCTAAATCCTTCTTAAATGTGGTCAGTTTCCATTTCCCAGAAATTGAAATAACAAGTCACTAGGATGGGGAAGTACAATCAGAAATGGAAGCTGCCTTTGCTAAGTTCTTTAATCATTGCTATTAAAAAACAAACAAAAAAACCCCAACTTACTTGTGTTTCCCAGAAATGACAGAACAGCACGGGGAAAGAATTCTGTCAGCTACTTTATGTGGTTGGGGGGGAAAAAAAATCTGTTTTGTATTAGCCCTTTGTGTGAGCTTATTTCAGACATTTCCATAAGAAGGAAATAATTGCTGTGTCACACAGTAGCAAGGGCTGAAGCTGCGTAAACCTTCCTCTGTTTTGGACTGGCACAAAAAATTTAATCAGTAATTTATCATGTCTACTTTTGGGGGGTATTATGACTTGCCTTCGTGTGCTTTCCAGATGTCTGGTTACTTTGCAGTGCTAATCGAGTGTACTTTTCATTTAATTTTTAGGCTCCTTAATTTTGCTGATTCAGATTTCGAAGAAGGGGGAGAGAGAGAGAAGCGCGGTCACTAAGTGCCAGAGGAAAATATCTCAGACTGTCCAGCAAAAATCACAGTTACGTCATTGATGGTTCTGGGTGGGCCGTATAAATGGGCGAGAGCAACGAGTGGCCTTGACTGTAAGGAATCCCAGAAGCTGAGATCGTCTTTTCCTTCGCACTTTACAGGTCCCAGTATTGGATGACACATTTTTCAGCTGACTTCTTTCTGCAGATGAAGGCATTATGGATCCCATAACTCCATGCTTGTGTGCTTAGACAAATTGTCCCGAACAGCATGGAGGCTGACAGTTCAGACTGTAGCTACACACAGTAATGGAAGATGTAATAATACTGGATTTTGGGATCTCCACAGTATTGCTTGAACAAGACGAGATTTCTTTGGGGGGGGGGGAATGGCTTGCACAGAAATGGATGTATTTGGACACTGGAGAGAATCGTTTTGACTCCTCTTTGAAACCATGTCTCCCTGCGAGTAATACAAGCAAGATATGACCAAAAATATCAGCTGCTTAGTTGGAAGACAACGAACGGGCTCTGAGGATGACCAGAAGGGGCTTTCTGTTTCAAGCCAGGACTCGATGGCTACTGGTGGGTCTTGCTTTACTCTTGAGCTTGTTGCTCTTCATGTATCTTCTCGAGTGTGCCCCACAGACAGACGGCAATGGGTCCCTTCCTGGCATCGTAGGGGAGAGTTTCGGTAAAGAGCACTACCAGGCCCTTCTTCAGGAGCAAGAGGAGCATTACCAAACCAGGGCGATGAGCCTCAAGCGCCAGATCGCCCAGTTGAAGCAGGAGCTTCAGGAAATGAGTGAGAAGTTGAAATCACTACAGGAGAAGAAGAGCCCTAAAGTCAGCAGCATGGGCTACCCGGCCACCAAAGAGCAGGCGCCCAACGATCTCCTGGAATATTTGCATTCTCAAATAGATAAGGCGGAAGTGAGCGTGGGGGCCAAACTGCCCAGCGAGTACGGAGTCATCCCCTTTGAGAGCTTTACCTCTATGAAGGTGTTCCAGCTGGAGATGGGGCTGACGCGGCACCCGGAGGAGAAGCCCGTCAGGAAAGATAAGCGGGACGAGCTGGTGGAAGTCATTGAGGCGGGCCTCGAGGTGATCAATAATCCAGACGAAGAAGACGGGCAAGAGGACGATGACGGGATAGGGGAGAGACAGCTTTACAGCGAAAACGATTTCGTGGAAGGTACGCCGTATAAAACTTTCTCGTTTGGATTCCCTAGCACAAAATGAATCCAGCCTTATTTGGAAAAACAGTAAACCTTGGAAGCAAGTTGCTTTAGCTATTGTGAAAGACGTTGGTAAGGGGGCTTAAAATGTTTTAAGTTAACTTGTTTAGAGTTTAGTGGCACCTTTTAAGACCAACACAAGTTTATTCAAGGTATGAGCTTTCATGTTCATGCATGCACAGAAAAGCTCATACCTTGAGAAACCTTTTCTGGTCTTCAAGGTGCCACTGGACTCTAAATTTGTTCTACGGCTTCAAACCAACATGGCTGACCAACATGGCTGACCACCTGGAACTAAGTTAACTTGGGAATAAAAGTAAGGAATTGCAAGAATCACTCATCCCAATCTTCTTACATTTCTAGTAGTTCAGTATGTTCCTAAATCTGGTTCACCAAGTGAGTTTAGGAGAGTGCCTGCTATCCTGCTGCCATTTCATGGTCACACCAATGCCACAATCATGTGATAGGATTCATGTGTGCCTGTAGGAGGCAAGGTGGCACATGTTGTCCCCTGTGGCCCACTCCAAACCCTAATTTATTGTCAAGGCTCAATTGGGGCTTGATCACAGATACCCCCCACAAACTTGGCTCCTGGGCCTTCTCCTCCCAAATATGTAGAACTGTGTTGCATGAATTCTACAGTCACATTCAGTTGTAGTATTTTTTTGGGAATTTTTTTTATTATAAACATAAATAGTAAAAGTGCAGCTATACAACCAAAACATAACAAAATAAAACTGGGAAACATTAAAATATGTAGCAGTAGCATTAGAAGGTACAGCATGTAACTTGAGCATGAGGAATCAGTTGCAACTGTAACAGGTCAATGGGGTAGGCATGGAGGAATTTCAGACAGACAATATAATCCAGAAGGAGGAACGGTTCCCAAACGGTTTCTGGTCTGTCATTTCAGACAGAACCGTTCATTTTTCCCCACTGTTTTTCGCCCGCGCAGGCGATCTCCGGCTTTTTTTTTAAGGTTCGCTTTATAGCGTTATAGTGCTATAATGGAACAGCAGTATATCAACGCCATTGGAATGCCTGGAGTGTTTTGTTTAGTGCTATAGCGCTATAAAGCGAACATTAAAAAAGAGATTGCTCCATGACGGCTCAAAAACGGCTTCAAAACGGGTTAAAAAGGGTAATGTGAAATTCCTCATGGTTTGGAACTTCTCCTATCGATACCTTTGGTAACTTTGGTAGCCAATCTGCAGGAGAGTTAGAATTAAAGTCAGAGGAAACGTTCTGGTGATTATGATAAGAGATCTTTTCCATAACATAAAATCTCCAGATGGCGGTAAACCAAAGTTGAGTTGGAGGGGGTAATCTATTTTTCCATTTTGTAGCTATAGCAGCCCTTGCTGCAGCTAAAAGAAATTCTATTATTCACTTGTAGTATTCATTCTGCTAGCACCGAACTGTACAGGTAAATAATCCTCGCATAGATTAAAAAAAAAATTCAGGGGCTCAAATAATACAATCATTGGCCTAGCTCTGGGGTATATTTCAAACCTTACCCATGTTTTGAAAAGAGAGGTGATATTGTCTGTAAGAATTTTATTTTGTAAAAAACATTTTTTTTTAAAAAAAAAATTAAAACATTTCTATCCCACCTTTCAGTTAGGGACCTCAGGTGGCAAAGTTGAAATTACACACACACACACAAACACACACACACCAATTAAAACAAAAGCAGGACATGAAATCAATAAGGGAACACCAAATGAAATGAAAAGTCTTCATCCATTGGATGGAAGTCAATGATAGAAAGTAGCAGGACAACAAAATCTTGCCCTCAGTTAAGTTATTCAGAATAGTGTTGATTTTTTTAAAGAAAAAAATTACATGCTTTTTTGGGGGGGAAATGTAAATATTCAGGGTGCAAGGACAATCGTTGTGCAGTATCGTACCAGCTGTTGCTTGCACCTTCAGTTATGCATTCTGCCTGCCTGCAAAAAACCTCATCGGCATACAGACATAAAAGTGGCAGGATTCAGGGGTAAAACCACATAGTTTCAGTGGGAGGATTCAGGGGGTGAAACCACATCGTAAGTTTGCCTCTCCATGAATGACTTTGGAACGAGCCTTATGGGTATGCGCTCTCCCCTCCCCCTCATGTCCTGTAGGTCTCTTCTTGGCTTGACTTATGGCACACTTTGCTTATAATAAGCTGACCAACTGCAGTCTGTTGCTTTGTGCGCAGTGCAAATTCCAGTGTGGCACCAACTGGAGAGCTGGAAATGCAGTGCAGGAGAGGAGTGGGAATTTGAGAGGCCAGGAGCCCAAACTTTGACCCCAGGCTCGTTCCTGTAGCGCCAGACCTGCCTGAGGGTTAGCAGAAGTTGGGACTGTACCTTAACTGTTTTGTGTATCATTCTTTGCCATTCTTTACCCCAGCATCAGGTAAAGGGACTGACGTATTTATTTATTAAAATGTTTATACCCCACCTTTCTTCTTGGTTCAAGGTGGCTTGCAATAACAGTTCAGTTTGGTGCAGTGGTTAAGTGCACGGACTCTAATCTGGGAGAACCGGGTTTGATTCCCCCACTCCTCCACTCGCACCTGCTGATATGACCTTGGGTCAGTCACAAGCTCTGGCACAGCTGTCCTTGAGAAAGAGCAGTTTGTGTCAGAGTTCTCTCAGCCCCACCCACCTCACAGGGTGTCTGTTGTGGGGAGGGGAAGGGAAAGGAGTTTGTAAGCCGCTCTGAGACTCCGAGTGAAGGGCGGGGTATAAATCCAATCTCTTTTCTCTTCTCTTCTCTTCTTCTTCTCTTCTCTTCTCTCTTCTCTCTTCTCTCTTCTCTCTTCTCTCTTCTCTCTTCTCTCTTCTCTCCTCTTCTCTCTTCTCTT